TTGATGATTGTAACATCAGGATGAGCTTATATCTTTAAAAATGTCAATAGTTTACAAGATGAAAGGTCATTTGTTAATTATGTATCTATATATCAATAAAAAAAAAATATTTTCACGAATTCAAATGTCTTAAATCAATGGAAAAAATTCTTCAAAATGAATTTAACCTTCCAAGAATGTCAAAAAAAAATGAATTTTCCTTGAATGAGATGAGCCAGTGAGTAGTCAGTAGTCATAAATTTTATTTGAACATATTTATTATATCCTCAAGTTGAATAACTTAATCCCGAGTAATAAAAATAATTTTCAATCAATCTAATTCTTGGGTTCTTCAGTCCTCTTACCGAGCATTACTCAAATAAATTACGCGAAAAAATCTAGTATTTAACTTTGCAAGAAAAGGATAGAGGAATGTAAACTGGGTTGTATTTTAACGTCGAGTACTTGATGTCCACTTTGATAAATTCCCTCCGTTGCAGAACTATCCGCAAGATACATACATATACAAATATATATTTGTGCATCAGCAATTATACACACACGGAGCGGAGCAACTAACAGACACAGACACTGAGACATTTAGCCGGGGAATGTGGTGTTTGATGAATGAAAAGAACCAAGGGACGCCATCCGCTTCTTAACTTGTTCTTCTTCTTCTTCTTTCTTCTTTGCTCTTGTTCCTCTTATTGCCAGTCTTGTTCCTTTTGGGCGCCTTTTTTCTCGAGATCGTCTGCTGAATGGAACCAAACGAGTTTTCCGTCCTGCTCGAGGTCCCAGTGTCTTTCATGGTGGATATTCCGATGCAGCTTTTTAATAAATGGGCTTGCAATCGGCTCTTGGAATCGGCTAAGTGTCCTGTACAGTACCTACTCCGACAACTACTGCCAATTCATTTGTTGGACTTTTGAAGAATTTGTTAATATTCTATAGGCTTTATTAACTGTTGATAAATTATTTTTTAACATTAGGCTCGATAAATATTTATTTGTAGTAAATAAATATTTGGTAACTGTTGATAAAAATAAAATAACTTTGAGACTTTGAGAACAGTAGTAATAAATAACTCTTATTTTTACATAAAATAAAAATTGATCATTTATCAATTTACTTTTTTCCCAAAAAATATTTCTTAATACTTGAAAAATATTTAAAGAGATAAAATAATAACATCAAGAGAGATCTGTTGAAATGATGCATCTGAACATCTTGTTCGCCCACGAGCTCGGAGATGACGACAATAACACGTATACACACAATTAAAAGTAATGTACTGATACAACAGCTCCGTGAGAATTCTTAGAAGGAATCCCGAGAATCAACCTTATACACCACACCTGTGCCTTCAAGGAATGCCGATAGCAAATACGAGCTCAAGCTTTTTAACTTTTTTTTATTATATATTTATCCTCGATTAATAAAAATGAATTTATTCATTAAATATACTGCGAGTATTTCCTATCGGGTCATTAAATTCTAATATACATTTCGCATTAAATTACATTTTATTATATTATTATTCGATTTTCTAATCAGGCAAAAAATCGAGCTGCTAAATGTTGCATCGTGAATTAGATTAAACATGTGAAGAAAATTACTGTAAAATTTATATTTTTACAAATTTTAATTTTTTACATTATAAAAAAATTACTTTGAATTAAGAGGATATGTGGGTGTAAGTATCTGTTAAGTAGGAATCGAGAATAAGACTATTAAGGAGAATTCTCAGTACGAAGAGATATACAAACAGCATACTGGTGACTTGGAGTTAAATGATGGCGTGTCTGGAATAATAGTAAGCAAAGATAAAGGCTGTAACGGTGCTGAGGTGCAAAGTTTAATGTTCATTGTATCTCTTAATCATCGGCAATGTTTATCGGGAATGTTTTGGCGCTGAATAGCCAGCTTGTCCATTAAACGAATCGCGTGTGCGCTAATGCTGAGAAGAATATAAGTCGTTAAATAAAATGAATTTTAATTGCTCAACAATCACGAGTTTAATTCTTCAGTTGAGAGGTTTAGATTATTAAAATGATAAGCCTTCATTTGTATTATTATTATTCAATTTTGCTATAAATACATAATTTAGAAATGACCTTGTATCTTGTGAAATATTGACATTTTTAAAGATATAAGCTCATCATGGTGTTACACCCGTCAAGAGCTTTCATTTAAATACCCACATGCATTTTTGATATATTTTTCATATATACATATATATATATATATATAATATATATAAATATATGAAAAATTGATGTGGGTACTCAAACGAAAGTTCTTGGTGAGTGTAACATCAGGATGAGCTTATATCTTTAAAAATGTCAACAATTAAGAACTGACTCTGTTATCTTGTCAACTATTGACATTTTTAAAGATATAAGCTCATCCCGATGTTACACTCATCGAGACCTTTCATTTGATTACCTACATAAATTTTTCATATATTTATATATATTATATATATGTATAATGTATATATGAAAAATATATCAAAAATGCATGTGGGTACTCAAATGAAAGGTCTTGGTGAGTGTATCATCAGGATGAGTTTATATTTTTAAAAACGTCAGTATTTAAGAAAGTACAGTGCAATTTAACAAAATTCATTATTTAATAAAGCAAAATTTTATTTATTTATATTTCACAAGTCACGGCAGTCTCATAGTGACTGCAAGGTTGCCAGTAATAATTTAAAAAATAAAATGAAATAAATAAAAGTAAAAAGGAGGCGTCTCTGTTAATACGGGTAACAGTAGCGACATTATTATTCGTCGAGTCCAATCTGTCTTCTCTCAGTCAACATACCGTAATAAATGTAAGTATTTATTTATATAATCTGATGGAGTTGCGATTGGCAGGTTTAAGAGATGTGGAAATCCGGCGGTCTCCTTATATTATACTTTCCTCCTTCGATTAAGTACAAATGTATGTAATGTTACCGTCTCTTGCATTGATACAAAAGTTAAGTCCCATTCTCAGTACTCGCTTGCTTGGTGACTATATATAAAATTGTAAGGTACATCGTCCAGCCAATATAAGTACGGCAATTCAACATTTCTTACCACCTGCCATTCAGCTACCGGTCGCGACACATATAATATCAACTACCTGCTCCAATCGGCATAATCCGCAAATCAGATTGTAATAAAATATGGCTGACTCTTAACATTACCAATCACCGTACAGTCCTTATTTTTATTTTATATTTATTAATGGATTAGTAATAAATACAAGCATTATTTATTATTTTTATCTTCTTACTTAATCTGATAATTTTATAATTTCTTAATCCTCTGATAACATTATTCAGTTATTTTATTTTAGATATTTTATACAAAAAAATTTAATAATATTTTTATTTTATAATCACTGAATTCTTTAATGCTAAAAGAATTTAATAATTAATTTATTTATTAACTTGTTAATATAAGCTATATAATATATTATTTTTATATTAAGCTAATAATATGTTATTTTTTTTACTTTTAATCTCTATTTTTTAATTATTAAAACACAATAATAATATTTTTATTTTGAATAAGTTTTAGTAATTTTTAATAACAACTAAATAAGCATTAATTAAGTTATTGTATCTTTTAAAATATTGAAACGTTAAAAACGTTTTTTGTAGGAAATTTCATAAGCTTTAATTATAATTTTACAAATTTTCCTCAAAAATCAATATTTTAGCAGTTACAGCCATTTTTCCAATGACTGGATAATGATTTTTTATTTTTCTCTAACTAAATACTATTTAAGTTACAAATTCATTTATATCTCCTAAAATATTGAAGATAGGTCCATATTATAGTAACATTTTTGATAGGAAATTTTCTAAGCTACAATTTTTGATTCTTATAATTTTTTCAAAAAATTGATACTTTAGGAGTTATGGTAATTTTTTAAGGGACTAGATGATAATTATTAATTTTTTTGTTATCTAAGCAATATTAAAATTATATATTAATTTATATCTTCTAAAATATTGTAGATAGGTCCATAGTATAAAAACGTTTTTGATAGGAAATTTTCTAAGCTATAATTTTTGATTCATAAGCTGATAATTTTTAAAAAAAATTGATATTTCAGGAGTTACATCCATTTTTAAATAATTAATAATTAATCTCAAAATTCTTCAATAAAATCTTAAGAGCTGAAGATTTAATTGCTATAAATAACTCTTAAGCTTATTAAAATAGCTCGAGAATTTTATTGGGCGATAAAAGTCTAAATACGGGCATTTAGATTGAATGTGCGTGGTGTTACCGATACGGACCACTGAAGATGTATAAATATAAATCTAAATAATGTTCAATGTAATAATGTATTACCTGAAATGTGCGTGCTAGATTTTATATTTAGTGTATAAGCATCGTGTTACTTGTAGAACTACTGAATTAGGTTAGAACTAAAATAACATTAACAACACCCACTCGCGTCTACTCTCTATACAACTCTGGCTCATATATCACCAATTTATTCATCTTAATCTTTATCTTCATCCACTCTCTCTTACATTTTATTCTTCGAGTCAATTATTGCCTAAAAGAATTTTCTTTATTATAAAAACAATATACTTTATTTTAAATAAAAAACTTTACGATTTTGATCATCATTAAAAATAAAATAGTCATTATATAGTTTGCAGTCTTCATTGTTTATTTTGTCGAATTATTTTCATTGTCATCCCTGTAATTTATTATTATAAATGTATAGCTAAGCGCAGTATGTAGTAACTAAAAAAGAAAGAAAAATTGTTCTTTGCAATAAATAATAACAAGTAATTGATTAAAAAAAAATTGTGATAGTTACTGAGATAAGACAAGATCCCTGGATTGAAAAAAATCCAAAAGCGTTGAAGTTTATATTTTTGTGAAGTAATTCCATGGCAAATTGTTCTGCCTGAAATTTAATTATTAATTATTTTATTATAGATTAGAATAATTTGTAATTATTAATTATTTTAGCCACCTGATCTCTGATTCTAATATTTAGAGAAGATCTACCAATTTCACAAACTATTTTATCTATTTTAGTAATCTGAAAGAAAAAAAAATTAATTAAGTTTATTAAAAATAAAAATTCTTTAACAGAAGAATTAAATTAAGAAGAAAATTCTTTAAAAAAGAAAAATTTTATCAATTTTTAGTCAAAAAAATTTTCCAATTTAATTTAAAACAATATTCTTTGATTATTTAATTGATATAAAATAAATATCAATGAGAATTAATTTAAGTACCGTTTGTGGCCATTTATTGTTAAAATAAACGACAGAAATGAATTTATATTAATAAACCATTACAAACTCAATTTGTTTTAATATAAATTTTTTAAATTCAACAAAAATATGGTTGTAATATTATAATTTTTTATAAATTAATTCAAATGTTAACTGGCAAAAAACGGTACTTCTACCCTAATCCTTTATTTAAAAGTTGATGTGAGGTTTTCATTGTTGTCGCTTTTCGTTGCTATGGTAACCATTTTGGCAACGGTTACCATAGCAACGGTTAAATATTAATGAATAAAATTTATCAAAATATTAATTCATTAAATTGTCAATAATAAACACTGACAAAAGCGCGCTTTACTTGATTTTATAGTTATTTTAAATTCTTTAAAAAACGAAAATTTTCTCAATTTTTAATCAAAAAAATTTTGCAATTCAATTTAAAACAATATCCTTCAATTAAATACTTAATTGATGTAAAATAAATATGAATAAGAAATAATATTAATTTTAAAATTTAGTTTTATATCAAAACAATATTAACTTGAACAAATAACAGTATAATCGAAACAATCAGCGCAGAAGTAGGATACAAATTTTTGACGATCCAAAGCGCCGTCATCAGACACTTAATTTTCTTCTCAGTCAAATCCTCTATGAATTTATCCTCGCTAAAATTATTATAAAGCCTCCAACAACTGTAGGTCAGCGCGGGGCAGAAATGGATAAAAACGAATAAAATTGGCCAGGAATTGAAATTGGAAACCATTTCACAGACTTCCCTGAGCCTGCGATAGATCCTTTTAACCTTCTTCAACCCTTCCAAGCTCCTTTCCGGCTCAATCTCGATTTGGCTGCACTTTGCCAAATTTTTGATCCTCAAAAGCGCGGAGTTCATCTTACAGAACAGATCTTCAAGATGAATCACAATTATTGCGTACTGTATTATAAAACACGCGATAATAAACAGCGGAATTGACCGCGTGATGTTATACAGCGAAGTTTTTTTGTTCTGAATTGTCTCAAGAACAAAGAGAAAAATCGTCAGGAAAATTTGAATTGCTATTATAAAAATCATTTTTCCACTTTTTAAACTGCAAATTGGAGTTTCTTTCGCTAGAAATTTCTTTTGAGCCAAATTTGAGTCGGACAAATCGGAAGATAGTGAAATTAAGCGCCTGAAGATGTCAGTAGCAGTCCGTTGATTTTTTGCGTAGCTCAAAAGTATAATTGTGGCGGTAATGTTGTCCATTATTATGTAAACTGTTTCAGAAAAGTCATTTATAGACTTTATTTCAAATTTTACTTCTGGATTTTTTAAATTTCGGTAATAAAATGCCGCAATAAGGCACAACAACAATAATAAATTGTAAAGACAGTCTCTGAGCTTGTAATTAACACTTGTAATTATTCCCGTTTTTGAAGATATGCACACTTTAAAAGGCACCAAGCCGAGAATTTTGAAGAATATTATTAAAGAACGCAATATTACAATACTGGATTTTTTGGAACTCATTTTTTGGAGAGTTAAGAACTGAATTGTGATTTGAAACTGAAGAATTTTTAGTTCCATAGCAAGAGGGTGCATTTTAAATGTGATGAAAGTAAAGCTTATCGAGTGAATTAATCTAATTGGCGGGTTTGTTGTAGGGGCAACTCGTTACATTTTACTTAATTAATTAAACACGCTTAAGTACGTGTCGCGTGATTACGCAAACAGGATTGATAGAAAAAATTTAAGTGTTGAATTGTAAGAAAAATTTTAGTTGAGTTTAATGGAAATGTTTATGACTATTATTAATTTTTTTTAATCTATTAATGAGACGATGAATTATGTTACGTAGGCGGATATCTGTTTACTACATCTATATTGATATATGTTTACGCTAATGCCTTGTAATCAGGTGAATTAATCTTGTAAGGATTTACAAGTTTAAATTGAAGAAATATTAATAATATTTTTTTTTTTTAATTAATATTTTAGGAGTTATTATGCAATAAATAGAACTTAAGGATGTTTCTTCTATAATATTGAAGATAGGTCCATAGTATAAAAAGGTTTTTTGTAGGAAATTTTATATACAATTTTGGTATCATAATATTACCCAGAAATCAATATCTCAGGAGTTATAGCCACTTTTTAAGTAACTAGATAAAGATTTTTCATTTTTTACTATGTTAGCACTACTTAAGTTACACATCAAGTTATATCTTCTAAAATATTGAAGATTGTTTCATAGTATAAAAACATTTTTTGTAGGAAATTTCATAAACTTTAATTATAATCTTACAATTTTTCCCAAAAATCAATATTTCAGGAGTTACAGCCATTTTTACAATGTTTAAATAATAATTTTTCATTTTTTACTATCTGAGCACTATTAAAGTTATATCTTAGATTATATATATATATATATATATATATATCTCCTAAAATATTGAAGATAGCCCTATAGTACAAATACGTTTTTTGTAGGAAATTTTCTAAGCTACAATGTTAGTCTCTTAATTTTTCCCAAAAATCAATATTTTAGAAGTTACAGCCATTTTTATAATGACTAAATAACGATTTTTCATTTTTTACTATCTGAGCGCTATTTAAGTCACATCTTAGGTTATATCTCCTAAAATATTGAAGATAGTTCCATAGTATAAAAACATTTTTTGTAGGAAATTTTACAAGCTATAATTTTGAACACATGGTTTTTTAATAAAATCAATATTATAGGAGTTGCAGCCATTTTTATGATGACTAAATAATGATTCTTCATTTTTCACTATTTAAGCTATATATTAATGAGATCTCCTAAAATATTGAAGATAGGTCCATAGTATAAAAACATTTTTAGTAGGAAATTGTCCAAGCTACAATTTAGTATTCTTATAATTTTCCCAAAACTCAATATTTACAAGATACCACCATTTATATAACGATTTAATATTTGATCCACTTTTTTTCTCGCTTTTTGATATTAATGTATCTCCGTAAATATCAGACACATGTGTGGGATATAGACGTCCAGAAACTAAGTACGATATGTATAACATCATGCACCTCATACCTCATGCTCATAATACGCATACATATATTCGAAAGCACGATTACCTTCCCAGCAGGACACGTTCGAGGAACAAACGACAGCCGTACAAGAATAATCTACTTTAAGGCTACTTTATTGTTGTTGTTATCCATTATTTCGTCCGCTAAATAAATAAATGTATAAATCTTCCATGCATACATACATTCATTTATTTATTTATTTATTTATTTATGTATATATTTATGCACATAATGGAATATGATGTCCAATGCGTAGAGTATACTAATTCCGAGCCAAAAATATCGCCCACACACCATCAGTACTAACTTTGCCACCAGTCTACACTCGTAAAATCCTGTACTTATATTTATATTCGTAATGTACATTTTTATGTGGCCTCTCTATAAATTCTATTATTTTTTTTTTAATTAATTTTAGCCAAGAAAAAAATTTTCAGTAAAATATCAATGAAATATCGACATTAGAGCACAATACCCGGATATAGTGTGTAATATATATTATTATATATATAGGTACACCGTTCGGCTTAAACTTGAGACTTAAAACCGTGGCTGGGAGTCACCAGTGGGAGTAGTGCCCGCAGTCGAGATGTCTCCCGCGGCAAAAATCTTTTTAAAGTTTAGTAATTCTCCCTCTGTCAGTTATGCGCGGAGGCGTTCATATTATATTATATTATATTATATTCCTTATAGGCTCAAGTAACTCCTCGCCCACGCTAAAATGTGTCCCAATACCTGGCAACAATATGTCAACAACTAAACTTTCCACTTTCAATCCAATAATATTAATGTATTCTTCCTGTTTAATCTTATTTTTAAAAATGCCTTTTATTAAGAGACTCGGCTTTTAATATTTTACAGGCTTTATTAACTGTTAATAAATTATTTTTTAACATTAGATGGCTCGGTAAATATTTAGTAATAGTTAATAAATTTTTTATTAAAGACTATTTAATAATTTAATTTATTGGAAGACAATTATTTAATTTATTAAATTTTAGGAAATATTTTTTAACATTCAATAAATATTTATTTGGGAGGATAGTACATTTATTAATAGTTAACAAGTATTTATTAAATCCTATGATGTTAGAAAATCATTTATTAACAGTTAATAAAGTTTATTAAATATAAAAAAAATGCTTTTATCAATATAGATCTGGAAAATTCCAACAGGTGGCGCATGGCCGGTCAATCTTCTCGCTACAAGAGAGTTAACTTTTATAAATTAAGTATTGAAATAAATTTTTTTAAAGTTACACTGCTAGAAGGATTTATTAATGATTAATAATTTAATTTATATTTGAAGACAATTAATTTATTAAATTTTAATACTTAAAAAAATCTTTCCTAATAAGTAAATTTAATCATAGTAAATAAATTCTTCTATAAGTGGATATATTTCTACGTTTGTATTACGATAAACGATGACATTTAAATATACCTCGACTCGGATCTCGAGTAAGTGGGAAAGATCGACTAAAACTACACCTTGGGATTGGGTCTAGACCGGCAGTCGCGTGTCGAGGCTCGAGATATCACTTAATATGTGTAATATATAATCGTAACAGTGAAATTAGAGAGTAAACATCAAGCTATATTACGGCGTATGACTATATAACTATATCACTAGCAAGAGGCAAGAGTGTTCCGCGATATTCAACAGTTAAGTTGAGCTTTAGTGGGCTCGCTTGGGCACATCGCCCGATATGGAGCAATCTCAGATTTCCATCCGCCCAAATCGAGCATATACGTCCGCGCCCCCGCGGCTCAACACTGCTCAGGCTCAACCTCTAACAGAGTACTCTCGTGACTCTCGGCCTAGCCGGGGTTGCTCGAACCGCCACCTTACATTTTTATCTCCATTTTATCAACATTTGTTATTTTACTCCAATAACAGTTTATAGTTTTCAGTTTTGTGATATGCCAATAAGTGGATTATTATTTTGTTATTTATTTTATTTATCTAAGTTTTGATATTTGCTGTGTACATGTTGCCGGAAAACGCTTTTCCCGTTACAGGTACTTTTATTCTTATATTTTTAAAAGATAAATGAAATTTTGGAGATAAAAAAATTTCTTTTTAAATAATTTAATAAAAAAATTATTTTTTAATTTATTAAAAAATGAATAATAAAGTGAAAAAAACATTTTCAATGTTTTTTTTTTTTTTATAAATTTATATTATTAAGAGAAAAAAATGAGTTATTATGGTTAAATTTGTTATTTAATTTTGCTATAGATACGAAGTTAAGAAATTACCTTGTATCTTGTCAACTATTGACATTTTTAAAGATATAAACTCATCCCGATGTTACACTCATCAAGACCTTTCATTTGAGTACCTACATCAATTTTTCATATATTTTATTATACTTATATATATATATATATGTATATATGAAAAATATATCAAAAATGCATGTGGGTACTCAAATGAAAGCTCTTGATGAGTGTAACACC